CACAGACTCTTACTAGCTGTCACTTAACCTCTATTTGCCTTAGTCCACTGGATAAGGAAATGGCAACCACTCCAGTATCCTTGCCAAGAAAACCCCATGTGCTGTGTGGCCCATAGAGGCACGAAGAATTAGACATTACTGAACAATATATAACGATATAGTGCTAGTGTTCTAATAGAAGAAGTAACAAGTATCCCTTCTGAACCTTAATGTCTTCAAAGGGTTATTGAAGGAGTTAAATAAGAAAAAAGAGGATCTGGAATTGGATTGGTTTTGTTCTGAGGTTTTGAAGAGGGAAAAGAAAAGGAAGTATAAAAAGAATATACTTATGTAACAAGTAGGAAGAAAGGGGTAGAACTTGATATTTCTTATAATTTGGGCACATGAGTAGAACAGTACACAGACTTGGAGAGAATAAAGTGGGGGTGAGTGAGCATCATATATGAAATGGACAAAAGAGGATTGAACACACACACAGAGTTTGGTGTAGAAATACATCAGATTCATCAGAGAAACATGCAGGACTTGGGAGAGGACAGTTAAGAGGGAAGAGAATCGCTGAAAGCAAAACAAACATTCTGATCCCAAGGGGCAGATTAAAATGAAAGGACTAGAAACCAAAGGGGAACCCATCAATTAGGAAATGGCTGAACAGATTGTGATATATGAATAAATGAAATATTATTTTATCATAAGAATTGACAAAAGAGAGAATTTCAAAGAATTCTGGAATTTAAAAACTAATACAGAATGAAGTGAGAAGAATCAGGAGAGTAATTTCTACAGTGACAATGCTTAATTCTAATTCCAAAGGGCTGATTAAAAGGGAAGAAAAGAACTAAAACTAAGAGAGTACCTATCTATTGGGGAATGGCTGAACAAAATATAGTATATTAATATAATAATATTATTTTACCACAAGAAACTCGTTTCAGGGAATCCTGGGTATAATAAAGTGTAAAGTCAGCAAAACCAATAGAACATTTTATACAAGAACAGAAACATTGTAAAGAAAAACACTGAAAGACTTAAGAATTCTTGACAAGGGGCAGTTAGATGGTGCAGCGAGTAGAGTATTGCCCCTAGAGTCAGGAGGACCCGAGTTCAAAGGTGGATCAAATCTGGCCTCAGATACATAACACTTACTAACTGTGTGACTCTGGGCAAGTCATTTAACCTCAATTGCCTTGCCAAGAAAAAAAAATCTTGATCAAAGAAGTGACCAGCAGACCTGTGATAAAGTATGTTTTCCACCTTCAGAGAGGTAATGGATTCAAGTTGAGGAAAGAGGCATACCTTTTTGGATATGGTCATTGTTTGGATTTGTTCTGCTTGGCCATGCTTAATTGTTATAAGAAGTTTTTTTTCCCCTCTCCTTTTCTATTTTTAATTGGGCAAGGGTTGAGATAGGGGGCATGTATTGATTGTAATGACAAAAAGAAAAGAGAAAAGGAAGACAATTGAAACATCTTTAAAGGCAACAGAGTAGTATAGAAGGTAGTTCAGGTGGAAGCATAGACAAGCAGAACAGTTTTGAAAGGAACAGGTTGAATTTATTCTAGACTTTAAAAAATCCCAAGCAGTATGTAAAGAGGAAGAGGAGGAGGAGGAGAAAAAGAATTATTATTTACATAGCACTAAAGGTCACTTTAAAGTTTGCAGAGAACTTTACAAATATTATCTCATTTTATCCTCACAACAACCATAGGGGCTGTTATTACCCTTATTTTACAGATTAGGAAACTGAGACTGGAGAACATTAAGTGACTTGCCTACTTTCACATAGCTAGGAAGTGTCTAAGCTAGGTTTAAACTCATGTCTTCCTGGTCCACTGTGCCACCTCTTTCCGTGTTTTGCTTTGCTTTGCTATGCCCAGGGTATTTTGGTGTTAAGTTCAGTATTTTTTTTTAAAGTGTTAAAATTATAAAATGAAAGGATTGGGCTAGATGGCCATTAAGGTCACTCCTATCTCCAGCTCTATGATCCTATGACAGTGAGTATGTTGTAATGATTATTTTAGACTTTGTATTTTTAAGATTTGTGTATTGTTAAAATTGTAATAAATTATTAATTTCATTAAAAAAAATAAACTGTTGTCAATTCTGATTCATAAAAGGCTATGGCACCAGATTTTCTAAGCAACTGTTTCCAGGGTAGTTTAACTGCCAGTATTTTGAGTATGTTTCTGAAGTTCTTAAGAAATCATCAGTGCAGCAAGAACTGAGTAATCTTCCAAACTAAGTGCTCTAGGGCCACCTGCTGGGAAGATTTTGTTAGGCCCAAGTGAGATAAACCAAGTGCTGTTAGTTCCTGGCCCTTCAAAGAGAAATCAGGGGGTTCCCATTCTCTTTATAGATGACCAGTCACCATGTTCATCCAGAGTACCTTCCATCTAGGAGCTTCAGCAGGCTTTAGTAAAAAGAATATTTTTAGTCAGGAGACATAGGTTCTAGCTCCAGCTCAGACCAATTTAACACGATTTGGGGTAAGTCCTTCTATCTCCCTGTTTCCTCATCTGTATGAGAGTGTTGTACTAAATGACCTTTAAGACCCTTTTCAATTCTTTGACTCTGTGATGCTTAGAAAACATTGTAGGTCAGATTTCTCCTCTGCCTCCCTTCATTTAATGAGGAAAATTGTACTTGTCCTGTGCTATTGCTGTTGCCCTCACAATTCCATTTGTTAGCTCTTAACATTGTTTATCATTCACATTTACAAGCATACAAAACATATACTCAGAAAGCACACAAAATAAAGCAGAAGATGGGCTGCTTTGCCACTTATTTAAGTGGGGTGGGGATATAGAAATGTAAATTCATTAGGTAGTGATAGGTGTGGGCTCACACTACTTAATGCTGTGCCACCTTCCCTAAATAAACTTAGGAGATAACACTCGTTTTCTTTTCTGACGTCTTGGGAGGTTGGAGCTATATAATAACATGAAGCTAGTCATGTGAATGGAGAAGACAATGATTGTAACTTTGGGACTTTGTGAACAGGAACAAAATGTGTATTGTTATTTAATCTCCTGTTTAGGTCAGGTAAGGATGGAAACCACCTTGGACCAGCTTTTTTTTTCCCCTATCTTTTTTAAATTGGTTTTTATGGGGAGAGGTTAGTAATAATGATATTTTTTAAAAGCGCATCATTGAAATGTTTAAAAAATGTAAGCAATAGAGCAGAAGGAAATTCAAAAGGAGACACAGACAAGCAGATCACTGTGGTTATATTTGATATATTTTTTAAAAGCTATATGTAATAGTCATAATTTTGTATAGAAGCCTCATCTTCTGGCATTTGCATATGGAAATGTCCATGTTTGTTAATGGTTTTCTAATTAATATTAAAGGATGAAAAACATATTGTTCTTGTTGGCCATTTCTCCACGTCATAAGCATCTGGGAGTATTATCCAGTAGAGTATGAATGCTTTGGCTATTTTCTTCAGATTTATAGGACCTTTACAAAATTCCTAAATCCCTAGGGAACCTATTCACCTCATATAAATACTAGTGAATTATAAAAACCCCTAGATCAATTAGTTAATTAACAGATATTTATTAAGTGCCTGCAGTGTGCCAGGCATTGTGCTTGGTGCTTAGGATATTCATAAAATGACTGAAACAGTACCTATTCCTAAGGAGCTTACATTCTGTGGTGGAAAAGATAACAAGTGCATACATAAGTATATAGAGAATAAATACAGAGCAGTCAACTACAAGGTGTTTTGGGAGGGAGCACCCTAACAGTTGCAGGGAATCATGAAAAGCTTCATGCAGAAGATGGTGTTTGAGCTGCCTCTTAAAAAAAGAAAGACTGAGGTAAGGAGAGAGCACATTCCAGGCAATGCAGGTCAGCTAGGATGCAAAGACCCAGAAATAAGAGATAATACCATGTGTAAGAAACAGGGAAGGCAAATTTGGCAGGATTTCAGAGTGCAGGAAGCAGGAAAGTACAATGAGGTTTAAATGCTGGGTTGTGGAACAGAGTTATAAAGGGCTTTAAAAGTAAACAGGAAGTTTAGATTTTATCGTAGAGACACTAGGGAGCCACTGGAGTTGGTTGAGTAAGGGAGTGACGTGGTCAAATTTGTGCTGAAGGAAAATCACTTTGGTAGTGGTGGATGGAATAGCCTGGAGTGAGGAGAGACTTAAGGAACAGGGCAACTAGGAAGCCGTTGTAATAATCTAAGCTAGAGATGATGAAGTCCTGAACTAAGGTGGGTAATTGTGAGAGCATTTAGATGTTAGAGTTATTGTGAAGGTAGAAATGACAAGATTTAGCAACTGATTTGGCTGATCAAATGAAAGAAACTTGTTACACATGGTTAGTACACAAATCAGTTTTCATTTTTTTGAGGGGGTTGCAAAGGGTTTGACTATTGTCATGCTTTATCATAGTTGGGAGAGGTTTGTTTTGGTTTTTGTTTTTTCATTTAGAGTATTTTGTTTCTTTTTGTCAAAGTGGGATTAAATGCCAGGGCTAGCCCTACTGCTCACAAAACAGGTGATGTCCTTGCCTGATTCTGCTTTCTATTTTCTTTACCAACACCCTCTATAGAAATTAAATGTGTGAGAGTACTATGGGGGAAGTGGGCTTCTTGGGCCTTAGCTATCAGGACGGTGGCTTTGTCTTTTTCCATCCATAGCTGATCAAATGAGTTAGCGTATGTGAATGAAAGAGGTGCCTGAACTCTAAAATATTGTACAAATAACAGGACCTCCATTTATTCATCTGCAAAAGAATATGCTCAGCCTGTTTCATGGTAGCTCAACTTTTGGTCAGGTTCAGTTCAGAATAAATTCTATATTGATATCTCAGTGGAGGGGGGCACATATCTTTGTGCTTTTAGAGTTCTTCCCTTTCTGAGTCTCAGTTTCCTCTTCTGTAAAATGGCAATATTCATGCTTGTACCACCTACCACAAGAGTTGTTGTAAGGAAAGTACTTTTTAAAACAAGGTGCCATATAATTTTGAGTTATTATTTTTATGTCTTGCAGAAAACACCTTCTGCAGTGGTGACCATGTATCCTGGCATAGCCCTTTGGATAACAGTGAGTCAAGAATCCAGCACATGCTCCTGACTGAGGACCCCCAGATGCAACCTGTGCAGACTCCCTTTGGGTTGGTTATCTTCCTCCAGGTAAAAATAGGGGAAATGCTGAATCAAGTAGTGGTGCCTATATAACTTAACCACCTCCTGAAAGAAAGGAAGAGAGGGAAAGCTCTACTTAGATGAGAAAGAAAGCCCAGAATTCCAGAAGCATAGCTAGTAGAAGAATAAAGGTAATATATTTTGTCAAATATCTCTCAGAAAATCAGCCAGAAAAAGTGCAGCAATTGGCAATTCTCAATCTCCCCGAGATTAGACATGCATCAGCCCCATGTGTCATGGATGGTGCAGTGACTTATGTGGGAACATAGTGATTCATGTGATTATTGGGTTCTTTTCAAGTAAGTTTTATAGACCATCACTACCAGATAACAGAATACTAGAAAGTCATTATAGAAGCTATCTAGTACTGAAAAAAGAACAGAGAAATAGATCAATGAAAAAGAGTAGAAAACCCAGAAATATAATCCAGTGGGTCTAAAAGATCAGTGTTTGATAAATCCACACTCCAAAAAATACTTACTACTTCAACAAAAACTAGATATGAACTGTAAATAAATCAACAATCTTAAGTTTTTAAAAATTTTAAACTGAAAGAAGAGAATTACATCATTTAGCTCTGAAGGACATTTTTATCAACAAAGTAGAGGAAATAATTAGACAGAATTACTAGATTTGGATATACATAAAAGAATTTTGCATAACATCTCAAATTAGAAGAAAAGCAGATTGGGGAAAAAATTTGTGAAATAAATGCCAGATAAAGTTCTAGCATTCAGAATCTATAAGGCACTGACATCTATCTCTATACCCTTCTCAACAGTGTAATGGTCTAAAGACATGAACAATTTACAAAAAAGGAGATATACACTTAATAAACGCATGAAAATATGTTTAAATTTCTGAATAATAAAATGCAAATCAAGACATCTACAAGATGGCTCCTTCACCTACTAGACTAGCGCTCAAGCTCTCTCTCTCTCTCTCTCTCTGTGTATATATATATATATTCACGTGCACACACACACACACACACACATATATGTTATCTAGTGTCAGGGCCATGGGGCTATAGGTTCTCTAATAATACAGAGTTGGTGGGACTGCAAAACATTTTGGACAGTATGAAAATAGGCAGTGATTCACCAAACTGATCATACCTTTAGACCCCTCATTCCATTACTGGATCTCTATTCCAAAAACATCATATTACAAAAAGAACCGTGTTTGCACAAAAAAATTTCACAACTGTTCTACTTATCATAGCAAAAGATTGGAAACAACCCCTATGTCAAACAATTAGAGGATTGCTGAATAAATTACAGTGTCTTGTGGTACCATAGAAAGCAATGAGTGTGAAGTATACAATGAAATCTGGAAGGAGCTACATGAGGTGATATTGAGTGAAATCAAAAGAATCAGAACTATAGACTACAAGGCAAAACTTGTGGTAGGCCTGGAAGGGGACTTAAAACAAAAGCTTTTTTTTTTGCTTGTTTCCTTTTTGCTAACTCTTATTTAGTACAAGATGATACAGGAGAAAGTGCACTAACTCTTGATTGAGAGAACCTGGATTCAAATCCTGCCTTCAATGCTTATTAACTCTGGAACCTTGAGTAATTTACTTACTCTCCCTGGGCCTCAGTTTCTTCAACTGTTAATTGAAGGGATTAGCCTCTGAGGTCGCTTCTACCTCAAAACATGTACCACTGAACTTGTTTGATTCTCCCGTGTGAAAGTCTAGGAGTTCAGGGTAAAATTTTGTCTCTTGTTTTATAACTATTTAATTGTGTGTTTTTCCTTAAGTGATTATTAAGTTTGTCTATTTAAAAATTAAGTGAAGAACAAATAGCATTCATGTATAAACTTAGTTTTTTCCTTGAAGAAAATAAGCTTCTCAGAATTAGCTGGGCACTGAAGTTGAAATCATGACCCACTTTGGTGATAGTTCTGAATTAAGAGTATTTCACAGTTGCCTTGGATTATATTCTGTGTGACCATAACATAAACAGAGACTTTATCACTGTGATCACCTAACACAGGATTTAAGATTCAGAGTGAGTATGAGGTGGGTGGGGAGTCCTGTTTGGAGCATTTCACTTTGTTAGCATCTTAGGCCTCCACCTTCCTTCTATGTACCCTAGGAGCAAGATCTTGAGGTCAGCAAGATAGGTATTCTGTCATAGCCAGGATGAGATGGTAGGAGGCAGTCTCCTATGCATTGCTCCAGGTGTACTAAACCCCACATTTTGACACATCAGATGTGGTCAGCTTAGATTCTCCCACATGGCTCTGTCCCATAAGTCTTCTAAGTGGCTGACTACTCTCCTGGAACAGGAAGGAAGGATAGTTGTTAATGCACAACCACATCTTGTTTCTGGGATCTTAGATTGTTGGTGTTTGCACAGAAGAGCTACATGCGGCCCAACAGTGGAATGGGCAGGGCATCCTTGAGCTACTTCGAACCGTCCCTGTGTAAGTATCATGGTACCCTTACTGTCCACCCTTATTTCCCTGCCATTAATATCTAGATTTAGTTCCCTCAAGCACTGGAATGGTTGTGGTGATAAAGCAAAGGCCAAATAAGGAGGGCCCCTGACTTCCTGGAGGTAGAGGCTCGTCATTAGTGTAGTATCTCTTTTAAGAAGCTATGCCCTCCAGTATTCAGATGAAGAAATTAAAGTTATCTTTAGTCATATGAAAAAATGCTATAAATCACTATTAATTAGAGAAATGCAAATCAAAACAACTCTGAGATGCCACCTCACACCTATTGGCTAACATGACAAAATAGGAAAGTGATAACTGTTGGAGAAGATGTGGGAAAATCAAAACACTAATGCATTGTTGGTGGAGTTTTGAACTGATCTAACCATTTTGGAGAGCAATTTGTAACTATGCCCAAAGAGCTATAAAAATGTGCATATCCTTTGACCCAGCAATAGCACTTCTAGGACTGTATCGCAAAGAGATCATAAAAATGGGAAAAGGACCCACATGCACAAAAATATTTAAAGCAGTTCTTTCTGTGGTGGCAGAGAATTGGAAATTGAAAGGATGCCCATCAGTTGGGGAATGGCTGAACAAGTTGTGGTATATGAATGTAATGGAATACTATTCTGCTATAAGAAATGATGAGCAAGCAGACTTCAGAAAAACCTGGAAAGGCTTGTATGGATGGATGCTGAGTGAAGTGAGCAGAACCAGGAGAACATTGTACACAATAACAGCCACATTGTGCAATGACTAACTTTGATAGACTTGCTTCTTCTCAGCAGTGCCAGGGACCAAGATATCTCCAAAAGTCTCATGATGGAAAATGCTGTCCACATCCAGAGAAAGAACTATGGAGTTAGAATGCAGATGGAAGCATACTATTTGCTCTTTTTCTTTTTTTCTTCTATTTTGTTTTGTTTCTTCTTTCTTGTGGTTCCTCCTATTGGTTCTAATTCTTCTTTACAACATGACCAATGTGAAAATATGTTTAATAGGAATGTGTATGTAGAGCCTTTATCAGATTGTATGCGGTCTTGTGGAGGGAAGGGGAGAAAATTTAAAACTCAAAAGCTTATGGAAGTGAATGTTGAAAACTAAAAAGAAAAACAAAAAAGAAGAAGCTGTGCCCTTTCTCCCTTTTTGGAGTTTGTTCTGGCATTATCAACTAATCATCAGCCAGCATTTATTAAGTGCTTATTGTGTGCCAGGCACTTTGCTAAACACTGGGATTACAGAGACAGTGAAAACAATCCCTGCCCCTAAAGGAGTTTACCTTCTAATTAGGTGTGAGGGTGGAATGGTGAGAGCAGTGTGTGTGTGTGTGTGTGTGTGTGTGTGTGTGTGTGTGTGTGTGTGTGAGAGAGAGAGAGAGAGAGAGAGAGAGAGAGAGAGAGAGAGAGATACAAATTAGATATTAAGTAACCTAGAAAGAGGAGAAAGCACTAGCCGCTGAGGATAGAGGAAGCAGGAAAGGCCTCCTGCAGAAGGTAGTTCTGGAGCTTAGTCATTAAAGTTGAAGTCACTGACTTTTCTTACTGAGGATTCCCCCACTAGTTTGCTGGTATATCCCTAACCAATTAATCTTTTTTAAAAAATAAATTTCTATAGCTATCTCTTCTTTTTATATTACCTGCATTTCCTAGTATCTCTTCTCTTCTCCGCCCCCCCCCCCCCCCCGCCAAATAACAAAGAATAAAAAAGGCAGGGAACAATTCAATAAGACTGACTAATAGGTTGAAAGAAGAATCTTGTATTATATGCACCCTTAGTCTTCCACCTCTGCAAAGAAAGGAAAGATTGATTGTTTAATCTAAAAAAGTTACTGGGTTCAAGATGGGGCTAAGTAAACTGTAGGCTAAGCTAGGGTAGTCTCCCCCTACCCCCACCTGCTGTCATGCCCACCTCAATGTTTTTAACTCCTCCAATTGACTACTACTCAAGTTTTTGGCTTCTTTCTAGAATAAGTCCATGCTACATTGAGTTACTATTATGTGTCTTATTGTCTCTCTCCCACAGAGCTGGTGGCCCCTGGTTAATAACTGATATGCGAAGAGGCGAGACCATATTTGAGATTGATCCACATTTGCAAGTATGTCTTGAGTTGAGAGAACTTCTCCCACTCATCTACGTTTTGTCCTTCTTCTGAGTTTATTGTGCCTTTCCTTTCCCTCAAACCATCAGTGCTCAGAATAGGGCTGACATTGGAACTGAAGAGTTCTTAGATGCCTTTTGCCTTAGGCTGCCAGACAGCCATCTTTCTCCTTTGGATGTTTGCTTTTCAGTGATCTCTAAAGGAACACATACACATATGCACACATACATACACATTTTCATTCACTGACATATTATGGGGTTTAATGGGATCTAGTAGTTGGGTCATCTTTATGTTGACAAGATATGAATTGGCCTTAATTAAAAGACAGATTTTCATAGCACACAAAAAAAATCTGATTTTGTATCTCTCTTAGGTTTACTGATATCTGTAGGCTATCATTGCCTTCTTTAAGACATTCAGAATTCCAATATATTCCTAGACTATAGGAAGGTAGCTTAAGGGCTGTGCTTCCCTAGAGAAGGGGAAGCATTTATCTAGGAAGGAAATATGTTCTTTTGCCCAGGAATCCCTTGGCACATCATGGGAGACTTGGGAAGGCTTGGGGAAGCTCAAATCATAAACGTACCACTAGTATTACCTCTTACTCTGTTTCTAGATTGCAACTAATGTCCCCTGTTTTGGGATTGCAGATTTTAGAGCTGGAAGGAGCCTGAAAGATCATATAGTTCAGCCTTACCCCATTCTACTGATTTTACAGATTGGGAAACTGAGGCCTAGAGCGGTTAAGTGAGGTTGGCTAAAGTCACATAAGCAATAAGTAGCACAGCTGGGATTTGAGCCCAAATGCTCTAACTCCAAATCCGGTGCCTTTCCTACTCCACCAGGATGCCTCTGTGTGCTTTGTTTGGGGTTCCCTGTGTTTCCCAGGTTGGTCACAGCATAAACGAGATAAATAGGAGGCCATCTAGCTCCTTGTTCTGCAGCCATAATAGAGCCTTGCATTTGACACTGTGTACTGTGATTTGACCCTGTCCTAAGTCCTAGGTGCTGAGAGAGTGCTCTGATTCTTTGAACAAGTTGGGTGAAACCAACCAGTTCTTTGTCTGAATGCCAAGAGCAATCCTGTCCTCCCTCCATAGGGAATCCTGAGAGTAGACAGCAGGTCCCTAAGTTCACTTAGTGGTCTCTTAAAACATTTTTAAGAAAGAAGGACAAATAGGAAAAAACTGCTTTCCACAAAAATAGCCCTCTGTACAAAGGTGAATCCCTCTGTACATATGTCCACCTGCCAGAACAGGAGAGCAAGAGCTGAGATCATTTCAGGGCTATTAGCAACTTGTAGTTTTCACTTTGCTAAAGTGAGGGAGTTGAACTAGATGGTCCCTTCCTGCCTTAACATTCTGTGAATATCTCTTTTGGGGATGGTGGAAAGTGAGGAAAATCTATGTTTTGATGCTGTAGTTCCAAAGGACAATGCCATATTACTCCCATTGGCTCATATCTTCCATTAACTAACCTGTCTGAGCTCTGCTTCTTAGAGGAATGTCTATTTTTTTTCCCATGGATTCTGGGGAAGGCAGAATTTCATGTTTGGCACTGAGAAAACAAAAGACATCAGCTTGTCTAGGACAAGCGGCTATTCCCCTGGCCCATACTGGAAATAAATTGCTAGCTTTTCCCTGTCCACCACCCCAAACTGAGCTGGGAATATAACTGTGACACCAAAAGTAAGGAAGCAGCCAATGATGAGAAACAGGTTTTGGGTTCCATGTTGCCATGTCTACAGTGAAAATAACCAGCTTACTGGTCAGTTTACTACTTAACTCTAAGATAAGTAGTAACAAACAACCCATAATGTTCCTCCCGAGTCAGGCTTCTTCACCAGAGCAAATTAGTATCACATTAAGGCCTGTGATGGTATTTGGCACCAGTCTTTCTTAAGGACATTAAATTCAGGGGTTCCATAGGTAGGGAAAAGCCAACTGAGGTGCCTTTTCACAAGGTGGCTTACTTTGACCTTGGCTGCTTTTTGTTCAGTTGACCTTTAGTCTGAAGCCTGAGCCCACACAGAAGAATATATGGTTAGTATATTAAGAGAAGGAATCTAGGAAGTGTTCCGAATACAATTCTTTTTTTTTTTTTGGTGAGGCATTCGGGGTTAAGCAACTTGCCCAGGGTCACAGCTAGTAAGTGTCAAGTGTCTGAGGCCAGATTTGAACTCAGGTCCTCCTGACTCCAAGGCTGGAGTTCTATCCACTGTGCCATCTAACTGCTTCCTGGATACCATTCTTTCTTAAAGTTGAGGTTGGGGAGCCAAGTTTAGATTTTGGAATACTAGGGTCTATTTTGAGTGTCTACATTAAACCGTAGGCTGAGATAGAAACTGTAGGTAGTCACTGCCCTTGACTCGCCCATCCAAGTTCAAAAAAAGAAGTAAATTTTGCTCAGGTTTTGTTGAAAAACTTGGCCTGTCAGTCTGACACTAGTCTACTGGTCGTATCCTAGGTGCCATTCTGCTATGTAACTGAATTATCTAGCCTATCAAAAGAAAGAAATTCAGGTGATTAGGTTAAAATTACTCCCTCTCCTTTCCTTTTAAACTTGTTCCATGTATCATCACTTCCTGTTAAACTCCTAAAAGAAGTATTCCTCAAAGAGCAGGGAGAGACGTATATGTCTCCTAATCAAAGGCAGACTTCCGCTCAGCCTCAGGGGAATAGTTCATGTGTCTAGGCCCCTACACGCTAACTGGGACTTTTGCTATGGGACTTTTCCACAAAACATTGGGAGTGGTTTGGCAAAATACTGAAGCCTGAAGCTCAGTGAATAGTGCTATATCTGAGTGCTGATTTGCCCATGTGCGGAAAATGTGTGGCTTGCAGTTGGCCATTCTGCTAGTGTCCCTGACTCACAGTTGCCCCTGAAGGATCTCAGTTGTTGGCAAAGAGAGTGTGGCTGGGGACTCTGTTCTTGGGGGACAAGAATGGTGGTGGCAGCGACAAAAGTGCTTGCTGAAGAAAACGTCTGAGTAGTATGCTCTGGCTCTTTGGGTCTTCTCAAGCAGGAGAGAGTTGATAAAGGGATCGAGACAGACGGCTCCAATCTGAGTGGAGTGAGTGCCAAGTGTGCCTGGGATGATCTGAGCCGACCCCCTGAGGACGACGATGACAGCAGGAGTATTTGTATTGGGATGCAGCCTCGGAGACTTTCTGGGAAAGGTGAGACCTGCTTACTCCAGACTTTACCCTCTTACCCCTTCCTCATGCCCATTCTGTTCTAACCTAATCCTTGCCTCCTTTTCCAATATCATTCTTCTGAGCCCTGGTTTACATTATCTCTTGTGATGGCTTTCTAATAGAAAAAACACATTCTGGTAGTTTCTTGCCTAGCCATGGTTTAAATGGTAATCATTCTCTCCCATTGCAGTGTGATTAAGGGCATTTCATTAACCTCTTTCTGGGTGGCATTTGTTTCCTGAGTGTATTTTTTTGAAGTATACCATTCACAGTGGTAATTTTTTACATCTGCCCATGGAAAACTGAGTTAATAGAAATGAGCTGGAGTCATGGGGCAATTATAGAAAAGGAGTAGAGACCACCAAAGATTGAGATTGAGTTGAATTAGAATTGATACAGAGCAGAACTCTTGCATCAGTCCCACCAAAGTCATAGGTAATGGAAGAATGAGTCCAATGCATAAATTTCTAGTAGGAACAGGACTTTTCCTGCAGAGATAAAGTGCGTGGTTCCTTACAGATGAAGTACAGGACTATTGACGGTGGACGCTTGTCCTTCCAAGCTCTCAGAGGGTTCAGGGATCGTGAGCAGCCCTGATCAATAAAGCTAGGCTACATCTCAAATCAAATGACTAGTTGTGATGTTGAGTGTGTACTCAATTAGTTGGGTACAAGAATACTTAGTGAGTTTTAGCAAAGAGTACAGTAAACTAATTCCAAAAGAAAAAGTCTGAAATGTTAATTTGTAGGTACAAATGATTACAGATTTCATTTCGACTTTCTGTCCATTTTCTTAGCCACTTAATTTTTTAAATGGTTAATAGGTTTATAGCTTGAGCCATGTCTCCTAACAAACACAAGGTGACATTTGTAGAGGGTTTTCTATTTCCGGCCTTCCCTAATGGGGCAACATTTTAAGAAGACTCCATTACAAATATTTGACCCTTTTCTTTCCTTCCTGTTTATTCTGCAGATGTGCCAAGCTTAATAGGAAATTCAGAGAGGGTATGCACTTATCAGAATCATTCAGTTGAACTTGACACAAGGGCTGGTTTTTTTCTTTTTTTGAGGATCCAGAAGTTTTGTCCAAAGGTTCAGCTGACTGGCTTTCTTTCGTGGTGGACAATGTACGGAGGAACCTGCTTAGATCAAAATGTCATTAGAAAGAAGCAGACCATCTCAAAGGCCAGCAAAGTATCTTTAAAAATAAGTCTTCCAAGGAAGTTAAACTTCTAGTAAAGCAGGTTAGTGGACCACAGGAGAGAATTTGACTATTTTTGTGAAACTCAGCCTCTCCATCCCTTGCCCCAACAAGACCTAAGGAGTACTAAATGTCTACTAGGTATAGAGTTGAAGGGAAGTGACTGGGAACAGATCTTCCCTGTGTGGCCCAATTCAGGATGTCCCTGAACTGAAGGCCCAGACAGAACTGGCAGCTAAGTATGAATGGCACCATATATATGCTGATGAGTGATAATGCAGGGAATGTGTCAGTCAAAGCTGTCATGTCTGCTAGCATTCCTAACCATGTGGCAGTGTCATTCTCCCTTAAAAGATTTCAGTGGTTCATAAAGGGCTTACCTTGTTGGTAACTATGAGTATCAGTGGGCAGCGTGGAAGGGGTAAGCATGTATCTTAGAGAAAGAGAAATGACCCATTCCTTCTAGCCAGAGAGAGAGTGTGAAAGACCCTGTCTTGTACATCCCTTGAGGTGCAGACCCAAATCCTTTTCTTCAGCAGAAAACAAGCTAATCATGCTTCTGGGTATGTAGACAGTAGCTCAGGACCAGCATGATTTCTTTCCCCAGGTTTGATGGTATTTTCCAGCTCCACAGCTCTGCCAGATTTGGTATGCTGCACATAGCATCAAGTGACTAAGCTCTGTCTTTGCAGATACAGAGCAAATCAGAGAGACCCTGAGGAGGGGACTAGAGATCAACAGTAAACCTGTCCTCCCTCCAATCAACACCCAGCGGCAAAATGGCCTAAATCATGACCGAGCACCGTAAGTCTCTGGCCCCTCAAGGGGTTTAAACCCTGTGTCCTCAGTGAACCACCTTCTATCCCAGAACTTGGAGGGGTTTTGGTCTTTAAGAGTTTTCACCTCCAATAAGATAGCAGTGCGTCTTCTCTCCCCATGCCACTCCTTCCCCTTCAAGGCCTATGTGAAAAGGAACAAAGACTGGGCTTATAGGAACCAAGGATTTTTGCAACTTGATGAAAAGAGTAGGGGGGAGGGGGGATGGCAGACATGCAAGTTTGCCACTAGTAAGTCTTTAAAGAGTCATTGTAGGGTGTGAATATAAACATCTGCAAATATTTACATGGGCTCTGTGTGAGGCAGGGTTGGGATGAAATCAGATTTGGGGCCTTCCAACCTTGAATGGGACCATTGTAATGAGCATTGCTCCTTTCCTTATCTTAATTACTGCTGTAGTTGCCCTTCCTTCCTGAGGCTTGGCCTTCAGCTCATATCTGCTGCTCCATAAGCCTCCTGCCTAGCCAACCAATAGAAGGCCCTGCTAGAACCTGAACCCCATTTTCTTGCTGCCCCAGGAGGGAAAACCCTTGGCAGATCTTCTTTGACTTTCATTTAGGCTGCTGCTTCCTGGGTACAGTTTATAATACTCTACATGGCTGTCCAAGGAGAGGTTCTACTCTAAGGCCATTTCAGACCAGTATTTATTCTTGGATTTTTTTCTCTTGTCCAGGCACGTGCACCATGCATCAAATGCCTTCCCCTTTGAGCCAGTAGGTTCTCTCGAGACATAATGTAGTGGTCAGGGGGTCCCTCTTCTCTACCCTTTGGTCCTAATTTCAGTAGCAACAGTGCTAGTGAGGCTTTGCCTTGGGTGCTGGTGTAGCAGAAAAGAGACCTCATCCCAGGCTGGAAATACTGCTGCCTGGGCCCAATGGAGATTAATTCATCCATCTAGGGACAAATGTGTTGCTAGAAAATGGAGCTTGGTTAGAACATCTAGTAGAAAATTCCTGATGAAATTTTTATAGGGAGGCCCAGTATACCAGACTGGTTAGTATTCTAGACTGATTATTAGTTGCTTTCTTTTCTTTTTATTTCAATTTTATTTTATTTTCCAAATTCTCTTCTCTTTCCTCCTCCCCCACCTATTGAGAAGGCAAGAAAAATAGAATCCATTATAAATATACATAGTCATGCAAAACAGATTTCTGCATTAGCCATGTTCCAGAAAAAAGTAGGCAAAAAAAAGAAATATGAGGCCTTTGGAAGTGTGGTTGGTCATTGTGTTGATAAGAGTTATTACTGAGTCTTTCAGAGTTGATTATCTTCACAATATTGCTCTTTCCATATAAATTTTTCTCCTGGTTCTGCTCACTTTCCTTTCTATCAGTTCATATTAGTCTTTGTAGGTTTTTCTGAAATATCCCCTTCATCATTTCTTATAGCACAGTAGTATACCATTGTCTTCATATACCTTAACTTGTTCCACCACTCCCCAGTTGATAAGTATCCCCATAGTTTCCAGTTCTTTGCCACCACTAAAAGAGCTACTATAAACATTTTTGTGTATATGTGTCCTTTTCCTCTTTCTTTGATCTCTTTGACATGTAGACCTAGTAGTGGTATCAGTGGGTCAAAGAGTACATACAGTTTAATAGTTTTTTGGGCATAGTTCCAAATTGCTTTCCAGAATAGCTGGAGTAGTTCACAGCTCTACCATATTAGTTGCTTTTCTAAGAAGTCATTACTGAATATTTGCTGTGTGCCAGCCTATGCTAGGTCCTCTTGAGGAGATGAGAAATATGTTTTCTGCTATCAGGGACCTCATTTAGTGGAGGAGATAGAACCAATATACATGAGATAACAACTAAGTGTAAATAGGCCGATTCCAAGAATGTCCAAAGACTGTCTTATAATGTTTCCTAAAGATGGCCTTTGACCTTGAGATTGCTGGGAGTCTATTGGCTTTTCCTGGTAATGACTGGAGCAGTGTGCTGTGATTCTGATCGTAGCTTAAGTAGAAAGCCCTGGAGTGATCCATTACACAATTTCTCAGATACTTTCATTGGTCTAATGAGAACACATCATCTGGTGGCATAAGTCATGGTGAGATTTTCTAATGGCTTCAAAAAGCCGTGTAGCATTATTCCATTGGTTCTAATAGAGTATTGAGAAGTAATTGTATATGTTTTGCATGACTTCACATATTGTCTTCTTAATGGGTGGTGAGGGACACGAGGGAGAGAATTTAGAAGTCAAAATTTTAAAAAATGAATGTTAAAAAAAGAAATAATTGTTGACCAAGTTAAAGTTCACAGCAATTCACATTTAACTAGAATGTAGCAGCACAGAGTTTCCTTTTCTTTTCTGGAAATCCTTGAGCCTCTGAGAATGTAGACCATAGAATGGAATAGCATTTTAGAGCTGAAAGGCACCTTGGGAATTATCTGCCCCCTCATTTTACAGATGAGAAAACAGAGGCTGAACAGTTAAGTGACTTGCCCTCCAAGATCACATAGCTTGTTAATAGCATCGCCAGAAATAGAACCCAGGTCTCTTGACTCCTTATCTAATACTTAGTCAGTCCCACACTCTATCTGTGTGTGCATATCCCCCTATGCTATGATATTTTGCCCAGCTGTATTTATGAAGTATTTTAGTAGGAACATTTGAGAGATACAAGTTCCCAGATCGGACTTGGATATACACTGCACTGAGTTGTCACTTTTCAAGATTGGAAAGCTTTTAGGGTTTATTCAACATTTGCACCCTGAATCTAAGGCTCACTGGAGTGTTTATGGCTTTCCCCTTGCAGGCTGGCTGCAGAGAGACTCCTGGCAGCAAGGAGATTTATAGACCAGAGAAGTGAGTAGGGAGTAGGTCAGAACTGCTTACCCATAGTGATGGGCCTTCTTTGAGTCTGAAACATGCATACCCAAGGAACCAGGAAATGTTTCCTAGTTAGTGTTCAATTCTTCAGGCTGCATTATTACAGATACAGCAGAAACCAGTATGTTAAAAAGTCGGTGCAAAATGGTTTCTTTTTTACATGAGAATATCGTTGGATACTTTGCTCACCCTCCCCAGGGTTGAACTCCTGCTATCTTGAAGACTGATGGAGATGTAGTCAGTTCAGATTAGTAAGCAGGTTCTTAATGTCCATGCTGCCCACTCTGGGACTTGACCTCGTTTCTGATAAACCAAGTTGATTACAATTAAAGAAACCGTCCATAAATGTGCTAGCACGAGTTTGTTGCATCTCCCCCATGGTAGTAGCAATCAGTGTGTGAGTTATTTGGTCTATGTGTTTGATTTTCACTTGGTCAGGCTTTCAGTGCTGTGTAGTAGTAACATATACCTTTGGGGTTCTGAGCAGGTCTTTTTCTTTCCTGAAAGTGTACTGAAGAGAAGCTAGAGTCTGGGAGGCAGCAAAGTGGTTAAAACAACAAATTAGAAATGGGTCATCAACAGCTATCTCAGTTATTTGGATAAAAGTGAGCTATCACTCTGCTCATGTTTAAGTCATAACCTATAAAGCAGATATGACCTTATTTGCTCCACTCGTGGGGATGCTCCAGGGATTCATAAAGTCATGATTATGAGTTGATTGATAGACATAACATAGGGTATCCCAAAAGTCTTTGTGCAATTTTGAGCTCCTAAAGGTTAAAACATGACTTAAGTTACTAAAGCTTAAGACTGCACTCCACTGATGGGACACCCTATGTGTGTAAAAATAGCAATTTATAACAAACCAGTAGAACTTGTTTATAATCATGTAATTAGAGATACAGTTTGAACATATATTATTTGATTACCTTGTTATCTTGGGCTTTAACTTTTGGGGTGTTAGGTTTGGGATTATAGCTACTATATTAAAATGGCTTTTTCAAAGTAGGACTTATTTTAGTTATGTTAACAAATAAACAAAATAAAACCAAAAAATGCTTATCTCTAATATTGTCACTTTGAGACCTGGCACTTTTCCTTGTATGTCTTATTTCTTGCTTCCCATGAATCTCTTCCCCTCTGAATAACCTGGGCCTCTACCTCTCCCGTTCTTGGTTCATGCCTGCTCTTCTCCCACTCCCTTCAGGAAAGAATAGTCACCAGCCCCCTCCATGGCCCATTCTAATGTTTCACAACTCCTACATTCCACTATGTATTTGGCTTTTCCTGAAATGATCTGCTGAGAAAACCATATTCTGGCACCTCCCCCTGGTGAGTCTGCTTACGGCCGCCAGGGAACCATGAAAAACAAATTCCTCACTGAGCTGAGGACAGTAGCACATTAAAAACTGTTACTCTTAAATGTTCCCACATGACTGGGGCATAAATGACCAGACATACTTGCTATTTGAAGTCATTAAGTTTTTAAATTTTCATTATTTTTTGGTCAGAAATGTTCTAATGGATTCCAGCCCTTAGCTTTTCTGTTCCAGTTTTCTCCAGGATAATCTGGGAAAATGATAGTTATCAGGCTCATTGTTTCTGATAACAGAGAAGTTTGAATTCCTACCACAGTATAGTTGTAAGAGTTAGTAACTTGTCTGGCTTTGGAGATTTTGTCCTGACTCTACAGGTGACTCACTAACCAGGACCAAATCCATCTGTTGATTCTTCTTCCTGTTGAAGTGGGCCCACATGATGGGCTGACTGCAGTGTGTGTGTGTGTGTGTGTGTGTGTGTGTGTGTGTGTGTGTGTGTGTGTGTGTGTGTGTGTGTTTGCGTTTGTGTGCACGTGCATGCACCCAGACACATGCATATGTGGTTGGGCAGGGATAGAGGAAAAGTATGTAAAAGCTTCTCAGATACTAGTGAAAAATCTGAATATAAGGTAACTTGTAAAGCAGAATCATAGTCTGTTAGATGTGGAAACGATTCTTAGAAATCATCTATCTAGAGGTATAAAAGTAGAGGCCTGCAGCAGAAGTAAATGTCTAATAAAATGCAACACAACATGGACAATGTGAATTTGTGGTTTTCTATGTCAGAGCTTGGCCAATAGGGCCATTTTTGTTTGA